GCCTGAGCAGCGAGCGCCCCCCGGCGGGCACTGCCGCGGCTGGGAAGGGCTCGCACCGTAGCTCGCCCGGCGCGTTTTACCCGCCTTGAGGCAGAGATCTCCCACCCGGCCTGTACCGGACGGTGACAGCGGGACTCCTGATCCAGCTGTGGGCCCTCCGGAATCAGCTTTACTGCGGCTGTGAACCGCACCCTCCGGAGGCAGTGTAAAAACACCCAGTCTCAGCTTGTCTCTTTTAAATTGTCATTAGTTTTATTCGCAATTTTATTTTCTGCGACTAACAGACAGGGAGTGCGCGGGATTGAGAACACTACCAGTCGCAGATCTGCACGGACACATTTGGACGCCAACACACAGCAAGTTGCATATCTCTACAAAAGCGTGTCCTGCATCTCCCGCTCCCGTCACAAGAGAAGCCACGGTACAGGCTGTTCAAGTAACCTCCACCAAGGCAGGAGGTAACAGCATGCCTGGTAACGTTGCAACCCAACGCGGGGGGGTGTACCCTTGGTATTTGTGGTACTTGGTACTACTACTATTTGCTGGTTTTTGGCTTCAGTTTTTGTGTTGTGGAGGTACTTTTGGCAGACCAGGCTGGAGGGCATACAGGCAGGACGAAAGCATTCCATCCTCATGACGGACTGGACCTTACTGATAACATACCGACAGAAGACACTCACCAGCCACAAGAAGATCACCCATCACAGCAAGGTTGACCCAAAGCAGTGATTACTGCCTGCTGACCTCAGTAGCCTTTGTTATTGGCAGTTCAAAACCTTCCCTGTTTCTCTCCCATTCTCTAGGTCTCAAATCTAAGTCGTCTTTTGTTCTCTGCGTCTCCTGTCCCTGTATAAAATGTTGCCCCTCTCGTTACTTACAGCCCATCGCATGTTGCCGTCTTTTTTTGTTTTGGTGTAAAACGTTGCCAGATGCCACCTGCCCCTCCATCTTGACCGTGTAGCCCACCTGATTGCAGAGCCTGGCAATTTTTGCGAGGGACCAATAGTTGCCTGGGAAGAGAGGGGTGAGATGACAGCGGCTCACTACTGCCTACTGTGGGCCTACAACTTACCTAACACCTGGTACAAGACACTCCCATCACATTAGGCTGCAAGTGGGAACTGTAAATGTAATCAGATTACGGGAGGTGGCGCGCACCTCTAGCTCCAGGGCACAGCCCCAGCATCTCTCCTCCTCCGCCATCAACCTGGATCAGCCCATCTGGCCAACTCCCTGCGCTTCACACAGAGGTCACAGTGCAAGGTAAAAGCCACTGTGCCAAGTTGAACGTACACAAGATCCAGGTTGTGAGGCTGTTGATGATCCAAGAGTGCATGGGAGGGAACGACGTGCCCATGCTGTCAACTGCTGCCAGAAATCCCCTCTGTCTGTGAAGATTTCTGTATTGGTTCCGTAATCGCAGGAGCAGCCGCACAACACTGCTAATTCTTGGGGCCCGTGACGAGTCACCTTGTCCCTAAATAGCCTGGCAACAAAATTGCTACTTTAATCAGCAACTAACACTGAATAAATTAGCAACCGACAGTTCATAGTATGAAAACCAGGAAGTCGCTTCCAGATAAAAATACAGCTGGATGTAACTAGCTACAGTAGCAGTAAAAAAAAAAATAAAATAAAATTGGGAGGTATAGTACCAGCCAGCAACGCAATGGTGCTGCAGAAAAAAGGAGATCCCTTTTTCAGATGGAGTAGCAATATCCTGAGGGGTAATTACTCAGTTCTATTCTGTTTTATCCAGCACAAACAAGATCTCAGGTGAGGTCCTGAGGAGTCTAGAAAACAGGAATAAAAATTACATGAGGAAGAAAATACAGCATATCAGGAAGGGTTGAAATAACTCTGTTTAGTCCCGAAAACAGAGACTGCCAAGAATAATTTTAACTGATATTTTAATCTTTATCTTTGGTCATTGTAAAGGATGGTAATAATTGTTTCCCGTGTTCTCTAGAGGAGGATGAGCAGAAATAAAGTTACTTTCCAACAGAGATTACTTCAGTTGGATGACAGGGAAAATTTTCTTAATATCAACGAAGAAAAATACACATAGTTCTCCCTCACTAGAGGTTTTAACAAATGGACCAGAGAATGATATATATTGACGGTTGGACTCGATGATCTTAGAGGTCTTTTCCAACCTTAATGATTCTATGATTCGGCATGACTTTGGATACAGGTATATCTAATATGCACAGCATACTGGCATACAGCAACCAGACAAAAAGATCATTTTAAAGCCCCTTTTAGGCCAACATTTCAATGATTCCATGTTATTAATTTAGAAGAGAACATGCTCTGATACAATAGGAATTCTGATATATTGCAAAACTTTGTAAAATGACTACTTCAGAAATAATTTTTCAAGTGACAAAGGGAAGCTGTAGTATGGCAGTCCCAGTGCGGTGGAGAAAGATCAGCACAGTGGAATCCAGCATACCCTATATACCAGTATCTCACTATAGACAGTAAGAGTAGGATAACAATTTTTTCCTCAACATTGGGAATGTCAGGAGTAGTCATAATTGCTTAATACCACCCAAGGCAAGGCCACCTGAATATCAAGGAATAGTATTTTATAAAGAATGTGCAAGGCTCGCTAGGACTTACATTCCCATGGTACCCAGGTGTTTGGTTTTGTTTTGTTTTTTTAAAATACTATGGGTGGAGCAGTAAAACAAAAAGAGGAGGAAGCACAGATGGATTAACTCAGGGCTTCTGCAGAAACTAGAGCAGGCATGGAAAGGGCAGCACTGGGCAGTACTCAGACAACAACCTACACAGGTCAGAAGTAGCAGAGAAAACAAGCCCGCGATATGTCTTGGGTCATTCTCAGATGTGAAGTCCGCAGACCCTGTTTCCCTAGCTCTTCTACAAACACAACAACTAGTTCTGGGCACACTGCTGCTCTCCTGCTTACCCAAGAGTTGACAACGATGCAGCAGCTATGCACAGTTTTTAAGACCCAAATATTTTCAGAACTCAAAAACTGTTACCCATAGAACATCTTCTCTATTCTACAGGCTGGAAAACGACACACAGAAAAGTTGGGAAATGAGCCAACAGAGCTAAAAGGGAAGCAAGAATTCCCAATTTCTGACCTAGAAACTGAGCCACGCAGCCTCCCTCTGTCCTGCTTTTCCATGGCTGGCACAGGAATTGAAGATAGATGGAGGAAGCAGACAACAGCCAGGTTTCTCAGCTATGCAGCTAGACCTGCAAGGAGTTTGTGTAAGATTCAGATTTTATCAAACAAGTGCTGATCCAAATGACAGCAAAAAAACCCTACTTGTTTCTTCAAACTCTCGGAAAAAGCTATAGCTGAAGCTCTTGTAGGTTTTATCATGCACATTACAAGCAAACATTTTCAAAAGCAGTCATTGATTTTGAGTGGCTCCACTTCAAAATGAGCATCCGTTCTTCCAAATTAAAGATACTCAATAGATCTGTAAAAATGGCCCAAGGCTGAGTAGCACTGGACATCAGATTTTGGAGCATCCAAAAATCAAAAGATAATGTTAGCCTGCATGTATATACAAACAATAAAAGACTTTTGTGTACTTGATTAGGAAATACGTTCATTTTCCAGAGATGCTAACAATACATGATCTTTAAAAAACTTCTCTGTGGCATTAAATGTATGA